ACTAAACAAAAACAATAAATGAATAAATAAAATTAAAAAAAAAGAGGCCAAAGATGTAGACAGTCACATAAACAAAGAAGATTTGTGAATGGCAAATAAGCACATGAAAAAGATGTTTAACATCATTAGTGGTTAGGGAAATGAAAATTAAAGCTCCACTGCGATACTACAACGTACATAACAGAATAGCTAAAAATTAAAAACAAAAACCAAAAAACTAACCACACCAAATGCTGGGGAGGGTACAGAGCAGCTAGAACATTCATATGGATGTTGCTGGTGGGAATGCAACTGGTCCAGACACCTTTGGTAACAGTTTGGCTTTTTTTTTTTAAAGTAATCGTGTACTTACCACAATACTCAGCAATCCCATTTGTAGGTATTTCCCCAAGAGAAATGAAAACATACACCCACACAAAGACCTGTATGTGAATATTCTAGTGCTTTTATTTAATAATAGCCAAGAACAGGTGAGTGGATAATAAACTGTGGTCCATCTATACAATGGAAGCTAGTCAGCCATGGAAAGAAAGAAACTGCTGATACACACATCAAAAAGGATGGATCTCAAAAGCTTTATATTGAATGAAAGAAGCTAGTTTTAAGTGGCATACAAATGGTAAGGATTCCATATTTGTATGCCATTCTAGAAAAAGCAACAGAAATCACATCAGTGGTTGCCTGCGGGTGGGGCACAGGTGAACTTTGGAGGTGACAGAAATGACCCATGTAATGATTGTGGTGGTGGTTACGCCATTATCTACAATGGTCAAAACAAATGGAACTGTTCATTTAAGAAGAGTGAGTTTTATTGTGTGTAAATTATACTTCAAATCTGTTATTTTTCTTTTAATGGGGGTACTGGGGATTGGACCCAGGACCTTGTGCATGCTAAGCATGTGTTCTGCCAATGAACTATACCCTCCCCTCTCAAACTTGATTGAAAAGAAAAAAAAGAACCAATGTGTCATTGTGCTTTTGACATTGGAACTGCATCCATCCACCTTCACTTCTTAATGGGGAGCCCCCAGGGCCTCTCTCTGAGACAGGCTGGGACCTGGGACCTGGGACCTGGGACCCTGTGCTGCAGTGCTTGCACCTGGACAAACGTCTCCTGGAGCAAAAAAGAAACTATAAGGCACTAAAAATAAGTGGGTGCATGAGCAGTTGGAGTGAGTGATGAACAACAAGATACGAAAAGACCATAAAGCCAACTCCCACTTTTGAGGTGTCAGGAGCAGAATTAGGGTACCCAGCATGACCTCTGCACACAGCACCACCAAGGGGGTGGGCAGGCGACCTGAGCCACCCCTCTGACTTGATCCCTGGAGTTGCCCCTACCCTCACCCCATTTAAGGGACTAGCTCGCCCCCAGCTCAGGGAGTGAGCAAAGTCACCTGTTATTTGTCTTCACTCCCTCCTGCTGCAGCAGGAGCCCCAATACAGCCTTGCCTGAATTTCTTGTCTGGCCTCTTATCAATTTCTATTGATTAAGGAGTCTGAGAATCCTGGTCGGTACCCATCCTCCTTGGCATGAGCCCTGAGTGGCCTGGGTTCCAAGCCAGAGGGAAGGGAGGACGGCAGGCACAGGGAAGTGGGTGGGGGTGGGGGCTGGGGGAGGAGGAAGGTGCCCCATCACCAGCACCAGCCCACCTACCACTCTGGTCGGTAGAGTAGCTTGCATTGGGTTCTGGCCGCTATTACCAGAGTCTAGGCCAATGCTAGGTAGACATACACCCCAGACCCCGGGGAGCTAGGGTGACCCTGGAAGCTCAAAGTGGGGGGGGGGCTGCCAAGCTGCGACACAGATGCAGCTGCCCTTCTGCTGTTAGTAGATTCTTGTATTGTCGCAGAAAGAATTCAGAGACAAGACTCTGAGGTCAAGAAAGTAAAATGGGGATTTATTAAGTAATAAGATGCTCTCAAGGGGAGAGGGGGCAGGCTCAGGTGAGCAGCTGCCCTGAGTTTCTTTGGCAAGTTGGTTACAAAGAGTGTAAAAATGAATGGGCAGAATATTCATTGAAGAGGGGTTTGTATTCCCTGATCTCCATCCCTGCTCCATCTTCCCAAGGGGAGGAGGGATTTTTGTCCTTATTTTGTCTGGATGGGAAGTGTCCTGGTGTCCGTGCATGGTGGGTGCTTCTGATCTGCAAGGCTAATTTTATTAAAATGAAGGCATAATGAGCAAAAGGTTACACTGGGATGCTGGAGATTTCCTGCCTTTTCCCACACATCTTTCTGCCTCCGGAATACTTGTCACCCCTAAATGTGTGATTTCTTATCAGTCTGGAGGTTCCTGCTTTTCTCTGTCTGCACAAGGACCCTGTTGTTCACAAGATGTGTAGTTTCCTGCCATTTGGCCCCGTGGCTCCCTTTCTCTGTTCAAATCTAGCTCTCTGCCTGTTCTAACACTTCCTCTCCCACCCTTTACAGGCAGTTATGAAAGGGGACACCCATTTTCCCTTGGCTTGGCTCCTCCCGACTTCGTGTGGTCCCTCACCTTTTCTCTGAGATATCTGCAGAGTCACAGGGAAAATTGTCATCGACTGATCACCTGTTAAGTCCCAGGCCCCGTTCCCCTTGAAGAAACTATTTCATTTCATCCTGGTGACAACCACCTGAGGAGGATACTGTGCTTGGCCTCATTTACGGACGTAGGAACGAGGCCCACGGACGTTAAACAATCCAGGCAGGAAGGCAGCAAGTTGAGTTTAAACCCTAGCGAGCCTGAACCTGACCCCAAAGATGAGGTTTTTGAACACCCCACCGCTGGATGCCATCTCATCATGTTGGCGTTTTGTTTTCCCCGCACTCCTTTGCTTCTTGATTCTCTGCCTGCGTTCTCACGAACACAGGGAACTTCCTGCCCACAGATGTCCTCCTTCGCTCGACATCACTGCTGGCTGTGATGCTGAAGTTCTGCTCCAGCATCTGGAGTCGACCTGCCTGATTTCGGGCCCCTGCGGGGCAACTCACCCTGGGAAGAGAAACCCCAGAGTCAGACAAGGTCAATCAGCAGAGCCCACCAGGGCGGGTGAGGCTGCACGTTTGAACCCGCTGCACGTTTGAACCCGCGCCTGGACCCGTCCATGGCATTGGAGCAGCGCCCCCTGCTGGACGCCTGTTACAATGAGCAGAGACAGTGCAGGTGGGAGGTGAGGAGATGGTAGGGAAGGGGAGATGGGCAGGGGTCCCCGAGAACATGCACAGTGCCTTGCACTTGGTGGCAGCGTGAAGTGGAGGTGACCGCTGCAGACTCATGGGAGAGGACTCTGGGACAAGAAAACAGGTGCCGGAGGCATTTTCACAAGTTCCTCAGCTGTGCACATGCTCCTCTCGTGTGGTCAGGCACGCGGCCTCCATGCTTCCTGCCGGAGTCGTCAGGATCACATCTCCCCTTCTCCAGGCAGCTGCCTCAGAGCCTACAAACAGCCCCTGACTCCCCATTTCCAGAGGCTCCACCCCAAACTCTGCCCTCCTTGCCTTCCCCTCTCCTCCCCTCCCACCTGAGGGCCCTTCCTCTCTTCGGGTCCTGCCTGAAGCTCTGCCTCCTCCAGGCAGCCCTCCCTGGCCACCCCACTTGTGCTGATTTCCCTCTCCTTGGAATTCCGTGAGCGTCCCCATCCTGCAACCTGGCCTCTGCCCAAGGGCCTGCCTTTTTAGACTTTCACCCTGTTCTTCTGGTCTTTTCCAGGGGGCCGTGTGGACAGCATAGGGACCTTGTACCCCAAAGCAGGGTGCAGTGCTGTGCCCCAGTAGGAGGCATCTGGTTGCAAGGAACGCAAGCTACTCCAGCCAACTTAAGGGAACTTAAGGAAAGAGGGGGCTTCCTGGGAGGGCAGCTGAACCCCCATGAACCCAAAGCCAGGAAGTGCCCCAGTCATGACGAGGTCAGCTGCCACCCCCATCCCCCTACTCCTTTGGACTCTCCAGGTCCTCAAGGGCTCAGCCTCTCTGCATTTGTTCTCAGCCTCTCTGCATGTCTACATCTTCCTCCCCATCAGTGGCCTCTGCTTTGGGCCCAGTCACAGATGCCCGGACTCTGGCTTCAAAATCTGTGAGTCCAGGGCTCACAGTGGAATGAGGGCTCTGAGGCTCTCCTCTCAGGGCTGACATAGACTCATTGACTCCTGGGTTAGGTGACTTCCTGGTGCAGTCACTAAAGGCAAGCGGGGAAGGGTCATGTGACCTGTGCAGGGGCCAGGACTTTGAGGAATGGGATCAAGTCCTCCAAGGAGGGGGGAGGGCATGGAAGACATGGGGGCATCTCGGGTACCGTGGGTACAGGACGGAAGATGCCTAATAAATGGCCGATGGACCGCAGGGCCAGGGCCAAGGTTCTGCGTCCAGCCCTTTAACCTGCCTGTCCTTTCTGGCATCTGGTCCATGAACTTAACTGCAGCCTTTCCGGAATCCTGTTTATTTTTCTCGCTTGCTCACAAAAGTGGCCAAGAGGTGCCAGGAAGACCTGAGTTCTAATCCAGGCCTGCCACTTACCAGCTCAGAAACACAAGATTTCTGAGCATCCTCGCCTGCAAAATTGAGGTTATGGGAATCATCGTGTGCCATTGTGTGGAAGCCTTTATAGGAGCTGCTGGAGCTGAGGGTTTAGCCAAGGGCCCGGCACCCATGTAGTAGGCACCTTGAGAAGCATTTAAGTTTGTATTTTGCTCCATGAAGATCAGAAATCGGGATGGCATGTAACTGAAAATGTTCCTTTTCTGCTGGCACGTAAAATAGGTCCATCTTCTAATTAATGGCATCCTAGATTTGGTGAAATATACTTACCAGTTGTGCTGACCTAAGGTAAACTGCGATACCTCTGGGTAAAAGTGTCCCCGTCTGCAAAACAGGGACAATGTCCATCCTTCATCCAGCCACTGTGGGCTGAAATGAGACCACGTCTGCGGACAGTTTGGAGGGTGCCCACCCCTCATCTCCGTCCCTCCCGGATGACATCACTGGTGGGCAGAGGTGGGCTTGGGGCAAACAGGTCTATTCTGAGCCGGGACCATGTTTGTTTATCTGTGGAGAGGGCGGCCTCAGCACTGAGGGCCGAGCAAATATTTGTGGTTATGGATTAACTTGTGCTCCTGGCTGTCATGGCGGCAGTCCTTGCGGTGTCTCCACGGCCCACCCCAGTAAGTCCCTTTGGGCAGGTCTGGGAGGAGGTCCCAAGGAGGGTGAGCAGGGCTGAAGGTGGACCCCTCTAGCCGGGGTTCAAGGCCTGGCTGAAGCTGGGGGTAAAAGAAATCAGGGCTCTGCCAGCAGTCAGTCCCAGGTTATGGTTGGCCTTCCCCAGGCCTGGGTGCCACCGTTCCTGGGGGTCTTCTTCCCAGACTTTGAGGGATATGGAAGTCGGCTGAGGTCCCCCAGAGCCCAGGGTCATCACCAGAGGCGGCTTGGAGCCCGGGACCTCCAGGCACCCCAGCCCACCCCCCCCACCTCTACACCTAAGCCCTTCGGAGGTGTCTGATTTAAACAAATGTCAGAACCAGCCTCAGAGGGACTCAGGGAGGGTGAGAGTGAGATCGGATGGGGAGGTGGTGTAGAGGGGAGCACCTGGGTTTCTGGCCAGCAGGACTACCTCCGTGGCCTTGCGGTGCCCCTGGTGGCTTGCGGCAGGGGTTAAGATTCCAGGCCTGGAGCCACACAGGCCTGGGCTTGAGCACCAGCCCCGGCACTTCCTGGTTGTGGGTGTTTATATAAGCTACTTCCCTCCTACGAGCCCCAACTCCCTGCTCTGTGAAAGGGGATGACAGGGGGAGGGTAGAGCTCAGTGGTAGGGTGCATGCTTGGCATGCATGAGGTCCTGGGTTCAATCCCCAGTACCGCCATTAAAAAAATTTTTTTTTAACAAAACAAACCAAAAAATCAAAAAAAAAAAAAAGAAAGGGGTGACAACATTAATATCCACCTCTTGAGTGGCGGTGAGACTTACCTAAACTAATAATGGCGACTGCAATGAGCACTCTGTACTTAACAGCTTTACTAGAGCCACTCACTGAATTCTCACACTAACCCCCGGGGGCAGAAAGACAGCTCTTCTGTCCATTTTTACAAATGAGGACACCGAGGGGCAGTTAGGTATCTCGCTCAATGTTCCTGTCCTGGAGCTGGGATTTGCACCCAGTGGTCTGACTTGGTGGCCTGCCCTCAGAACCACGTATACAAATGCTTGAAAGACACCATGAGTGGCCAGAACACGTTGGTAATTCCTCTTAGCCTGGCGTTTTGATTCAGCAAAGGTGCCAGCCCCGAACCCTCGCTGAGGGAGGGCAGGAATATTCTGGGTGCACCAGCCACAGCCCTTCTGTCCCTTTAGGTCTTCACCAGGACGCAGCTCCCTTTCCACCTTCTCTCCTCACCCTGCAGACCCAGGTCATGTGACTTCAGCCCCACAGACAGAAGGGGACAGAGGCCCCAGGCGGCTATCTGAACAGGGACCCCCAAGCCCAGGTTTTGGCCTGGCCGTCAGCACACACAGGGGGCCCAGTGGCTTGGCCGCCACCCAGGGCGGCAAGCAGAGTGGGCCTGGGGCTGCCAGGCGCTCAGAAGCCCTCCTCAGACAGGTGCCAGGATGTGGCAGCTTGGAAGCCTCTTCCTGCTCTCGACCATCTGGGGAATTTCCAGCACACCAGCTCCTCCTGGTAAGGCCGCTCTCCTGCCCCACCCCCACCTCCCTGGGACCCTGGGGGCTGTTCCAGGGCAACACAGGGCCATGCCTGCACACCTTCCTCCATCTCCTCTGAGCCTCAGGATGAGATGAGAGGAATGGGGCCTGGGATGAATTAACTGCCGTGAACCCAGTGGCAGGCCCCCCAGGGACAGAGCTGAGAGCCCCACTGTGTCACATCCTGAAGCTCTTTCCTCACCCTGGGTCGGGGGGGGGAGGTCACAGAGTCCCCAGGCTTTCTCACCCCACCCCTCACTCCCTCAACTGTGAAAGTCCCAGGCCCAGCTGCCACCTATACTGACCCCGGGGCAGCCTCTCCTCCTAAAAATGCCCACCTGCTGGCTGCTGCCCTGCCCCAACCCCTCCCCTGGCCTCCACCACCTGGAGGCCGGGATGCTCGGGTAGGCCTGTGGGAGGAAAGAGCTGGTTTATTCTGTAGCCTCCACCATCCCCCTGCCACCTCCTTGAGCCACAACAGGCTGTTTCTTACATTTATGCCTCTTCCTGAACTGCTTGTCTGCTTTGGGTGCCCTTACCCCACCCCTCCTCCTGCCTGGCTCTTGTCTGCGGTCTATTTGGTTCCCATGTCCAGGTTCAATCAGGCACATCTTCCTTTCCCAAGGATGCCCTTCCTGGCCTTTGCATTCTCGAGCCTCTCTTGCTCAGTCCCCTGACTCGCTCCCTCCACCCTAGCTGCCCCCTGTACCCAAGGCAGATACCTCTCAGAGCCCAGGAGACATCTGGTGATGCCCACTGCGTGACAGGCCTGCTGTTCTCCGGGCATGCCTGCCCATGGGGACAGGCGTGGAAAACGCTCCATGAGGGGGGAAGGTGGAGGAGGAGGGCAGAGGGAGGATGGAGGGATGGCATCAGGATGGGGTTGCACAAGGTGTATTTGGAGAGCAAGACCAAGTTAACTTTGTAGTTTAATAATCACCACAGCAGCAGCAGATGGCATTTGTCAGTGGCTGCTCATTTTTGTGCCAGGCCCCAGACTAAGCTTTTTATGATGATCTTGTCCTCACTTTTCGATGAACACACCAAAGTTTAGAGAGGTACAGACACTGGTTCAAGGTCACACGGAGGTCGGGTTGGATTCGACTGTCTGCCTGTCTCAATGCACACACTCTGAATGGCCAAATCCTGTCCTCCGGTGGCCGGCCCCGCTGCTTTGAGGAGGAAGAGGGTAGAGGAGCCGGGAGGGGGCCGTTACCTGGAATTGTAATCCCAAGGGGCCCGAGACAGACACCTCCCCAGGCTCTTCCCCGCTGGACCCCCTAGGGCCCCTTCCTGCAGGCACCCCACCAAAATGAGCTCCCCTGCCCCCTCCCCAGACTCTGTGTTCTCCAGCAGCCAGAATGCCCACCAGGTACTGCGGATCCACAAACGCGCCAACAGCTTCCTGGAGGAGCTCCGGCCCGGCAGCCTGGAGCGGGAGTGCAAGGAGGAGATCTGTGATTTTGAGGAGGTGTGGGAGATTTTCCAAGACATGAAAGAAACGGTAAGGCCGCCCCCACTGGGTCCACCGGGTGAGGCTCAGGGGTGGGACGTGGAGGAGCCGGCTGGGGCCTGGTTGCTGAGGTCCTCTTGGGAGTCCTGGAAGGCCATGGACACCAGCCCTTTATCCTCCCAGCCTGTTGGGGGTGGGTCAGTGGAATGAATGGCCCTGTGGTCTGGGTCTGGGCACACGTGACCGCAGGAAACAGAATTCTGCAATTAGCTGGAAAGGAGACTTCGGGGAAGCCTTAGGCTAGGATTCCTACCCAGTCCCATGGAGGTATTTCAGTCCCCCTCCACCTGCCACTGGCCACCGCTGCCTCCCCTGCTCTCTCTCCCTGTGACCAAAAGCCCTCTTCCTCCGCACCTGCCAATCGGGGTCTATGTGACTCAGGACTCCCTGATGTCTGTCCACACACACTCTGTGCCTCAGTTCAAATTCCCCAGGGGTGACATCTGACTGCTCAGGGGATCTGGGGAAAGGGTCTGTGTCCTCTCTGGCCCCCAAGGCTCTGTGCTGGTGGCACTGAGGTGGTGGGATGCACTCAGGAAGGGAGGTGGCTTCCGGATCCAAGGCTCAGATCCCCTCGACCCCCAAGGGCACTCCAGCTCCAAGGCCCTGGGACCCTTCAAGCTGTCTCTCCTAGGGATGCCCTTCCCACTCAGGGCTCTCAAGGCTGAAAGGGGAACTCTGGTTGGCTCCGTTTCTGGCCCTCAGCCACCACTTCCCTGACTGGATCCCTGCTGCCTCTTTCCCCATCCCGCTTCCTCAGCAGATGCCAAAATGATTTTCTACAGGCATAGCCTGAGCACTTCCCATTCCTCCCCACCTGCAGCCCCGGTCCCCCTGGCCAGCAGAGGGGCTTGTGGCCTAGGCATCATGCCATGGATCTCAGGGAGTAGTGGTCCCAGACCAACAGCAGAAGTGCCACCAGGGACTTGGTTAGAAAAGCAGACTCGCTGGCCCAGACCCTCTGAACCAGCAGTCTGTGTCTCGCCCACGATATCCTGCTGGTTACCCAACTTTGAGGACGTGGCTTAGGGCAGCCCAGCGTGCTCGGGTGCCAGGAGCGATGGGGCTGGACCGGAAGAAGGCAGAGGCCCTCGGTGGAAGACTTGTGTCCCCTTCTTTCAGAGGCTGCGGTGGTAGCATACAGCGAGGGCCCCCGGGGCTGGCTTCCAGCTGCCCCAGGGAGGGATGTGGGGTGGAGATCGGATAGAGGCAAGGAGGGGCCTGGCCTTACTCAGGGTGCGGCTGCATCAGAGGCTGGAGTTGTCCCTCTCTATGTGGAAGCCTCTCACTCCACTGCCCGCTTAGATGCTGCCCTGCCCGACCTGGGCCAGGCCGGGGGCTTCTGACGCGGCCCCTTCTCTCCACAGATGATCTTCTGGTCCAAGTACTACGGTGAGTGCACTCCAGGCCCCCCGCTGCGTGCGGCGCCCTTGCCCCTTGGGGTTGCTGCCGTGGGGACGCGGAGGAGGCTGGCGGCCCCAGTGACGCCCTCCTCGCCCTGCGCCGCAGACGGGGACCAGTGCGAGGCCCCGCCCCCGGAGCACCAGTGCGACAGCCCGTGCTGCGGGCACGGCACGTGCATCGACGGCCTGGGAGGCTTCCGCTGCGACTGCGCGCGGGGCTGGGAGGGCCTCTTCTGCAGACACGGTGAGAGGGCATCCGCGGGGCAGCGGG